CTTCCGTAGTGATACTGCCTCGGAAACCCAAGGAGGGGTCGCTATGAGTCGGGGCCGACTCGACGGCACATAACAACAACAACAACAACATTCAACAGGAAAGCATCGTTACAAGTGGCCACGTGTATGGCAATCTTCTTCTGTAATATGAGAAGGATGACTTCCAGGCTGGGTAATTAACTGGATTCCGTGGAGAAAGGACTCCAGCTTCCTTGACGGCAGCGTGCTGCCCGTGGCTGGGGACAGAGGGCCAAAGGAGAGCCACCAGCAGCCACGCCACCGCCCACTCACGCCGGGCACCAGACCTAATCAGCCACACCTGCTGGCTGCCCTGATGCCCTGAATCCTGCTCACACACCACCTTCGTGACCCACACCGAGCGCTCACACTTCAGTCCCTGCCTCTGAAGCACTTCCTGTCAGGTCTAGGATGTGGCTGCCTCCAGAGCCTCCCAGCAAGGTCACCCCTGCTCCCCACCCCCACGAGGGGCACACTCAGCAGCTGCTTACCATCAATCCGGCTCACGAGTTCCTCCAACATTCTCACTTTCATCTGAATCCCGGGCTGGGCAAAGGTGTAGTTGTCCTGAGGAAAAAAGAGCACAGGTCAGGAACACAAGGCACCACTGAGGAGCACGGGTCAGGAACACGGGGCGCCACTGCCAAGCATGAGTCAGGAACAGGGGGCACCACCGCCGAGCATGAGTCAGAAACATGGGGCATCTCCACCAAGCACGAGTTAGGAACACAGGGCGCCTCTGCCAAGCATAACTCAGAAACATGGGGTACCACCACCAAGCACAAGTCAGGAACACAGGGTGCCACCATTGAGCACGAGTGGGAAACGTAGGGCACTACCGCCAAGTGTGGGTTTTTATCAGCGACGGGCTCCTGGTGAAGGCACCAGGACCAGGCCTGCACTGTGGACGGGGTCAGGCCGTCTCGTCCTCAACACTGCACTCCCCTACCTCCCCCTGGAAAAGGAGAACTCTACACTCGGCACTGCTGAGACGCACCCGGGAGCTGACGCCCGCCCGGGAGCCAAGGCCCACACGGGTGCTGGGACGCGATGGCCTACCCCACCACCGAAAGCTGTGTTAACCAATCAAGGCTCTCTGTGTGTTTAATATGCACAGAGCGGTCTGAGGGTTCAAAGGTCAGCCGGAGCAAAAGGGACCAGTCTTGCAGTGGACGTAACTCAGAGATGTGCACGTCTGATAGGGAACAGCAAACACCGGTGTATCAGGCCATGGAGGCTCGTGGTGAGAAAATAAAGACACCCAAAGTCAGCACCACACCTCAGAGCCTGTGTAAGGGGCACTGCTACACATAAGTGTAAGATACATTTCAACTGGACCCACGGGCAGGGCCGCAAAGCTCATGGGGAGAGCTGCTTGCGGGCATCATGGCTTTGCAGGCCCCCAGGCCAGCACACTCAGCCCTGCCGGGGAGCAGACAGGACATGGTACGGGCGCCTATGCCTGCCAGCAGGGAGGCTGCCCCACACGACCCCCACCTCCCACCAACATCCCCAACACTAACATACAGTCCCTGAGCAAGAAGACCCAGCAGCATCACCTCATTCACAAGGACAGAATCGAGTGGGGAGCCCATCAACTGAGACAGGCAAGCCAGTGTCACAGGGAGGGACGTGGAACGGGAGCCAAGGGGCCTTGTTTGCATATCCGTGGACCCAGGCGAGGAGGGCCACCTCCTTCCCAGGACAGCCGCAGGCCGAAAGGAGAGGCGGCCCGTAGGCGTGGAAGGGTCTGAGACACAGCAGGGATTCAGGGAGCAGTAGCCCCTGTACTTCAGACCAAGCCAGGGTCACTGCAGTCGCCCCACATGCATGTGAGGCTGGAAAAGCAGACA